AAGTTAAATATTTTCGGTGGATGTCAAACTGGATGATGTTTAATAAAGACAGTCATTATTCACTTCAGCTTTGTTTTCACAGCAGTAAAAATCGCCTTTGAAGACACTGGCTGCATTACATGTTGGAATACTTACACCGACATGTGTCCCTCTACAGTTTGAAAGTGAAATAAATCTTCTTGAGAGAGTCTTAAAGCAGACAAAGCAGTGAGATGTAACCATCACCGCCCTAAAGTCTGTCCTCTGACATGCTCACATTTCACTTTTACATGCAGTCAAAAGATGGCTGTAACCTCATGATGTTAACCATCATTGTTTACATCAAATTTGACAGGTTAACAATTTGGATTCTTACCCAGATTGAATTTTAGTAAATAACAGGTCGGATGTCTTAAGTGTGAATAATGAGAAAGTGTAACCTCAATCACCAACAGCTTTTTCTGCAGAACAACATAAAAAGCACTGAAAACTAAAAAAAAAAGTTTCATCTGAGATTCAACGGATTATGTCGTGTCTGGATATACACTCATGTTTGTATCTCCTTGTGAGAACGTGTTTTCACTTATATAAATCATTGTTTTAATATTCTTTCCGTGGCAGTTATCCCTGTCTATCTCACCCCATAAGATCTGATCTACTCACAGATGGACCAAAGGGGGATGACCCCATCACCCTGCTCCATGGCAACACCCTGCAGCCATGCACCTAGGGTCCAATGGACCCTGGGAAGGAGCAGGAATGTGCAACATGAGCGGGCTGTGAGAAACAGAGTGGATGTGCAACCTGAGGATGGATGGATTAAATGGCAGCTGGAACACACACACATTTAAATAATAAAACTCACATATAACCACAGGCGAGCTTACAAAATGTTCAGTTGGCCAGTATATGTAATGACATGACGCCTTGGATCAAAGAACTATGTGCACACGCGCACAAACAGACACACACGTAAAAACCTGCTAAGCTGCAGCTATCGGAGTCTAATTCACTTTGTCCTCCCAGGCCGCAGGGCAGCGGCATGAAGTGGTGAAAGCTCTTACTTTCATTAATTCACGTGATGGCTACGTTTTTAAAATCAAGATAGTTTTGGTTAACTCTGCTCAACAAGAAAGTAAAAAGTGCTCTATCAACTGAGATTTTTCAATATCTGGCCATTGCTCGTTTAGCAAGTGTACTGTAAATATTTATGAAAAGTTCATGTAAATGATAAAAATCATGATAAGTCAATTTTGCATCTGTGTGTTATAATGACCATTACGGCACAGTTTATATGTCACAGAATGTAACACAGCCCCTCTGAATCCAGAGGCCTGCATAGAGCAAATCGGCCCTAAACTTTGCCTTAAATGTGTTCATGATGTTCATCTCCTAATGATGACAAATTGTAATAACTCAGAGTTATAGCATGTATAGGGATGTAACCAGTCTTCCAGCAGAGCTGTCTCTGGGACTTGTCACGCTACCATCCAGTCCTCTACCCACTTCTTTATATGCCACCGCGATGCCAACTTTGCCTTTCCACTCCACCTCCTGGTAACAAAAGCCTCAGGCAGATCAAGTTGCCACCTTGCTGTGTTGTCCTCAGATTAAACCTCAGATGAACACCATCTGAAAAACAGTAACTGTGTGTGTTTGCATGTGTGTGCTGTGTAGTACATGTTCCCAGGTCTCTCAAATGGATTTGGGTGTCTGATTATTTCCAGTGGAAGAATTTAACCTTTGGCGTCTAAAAGGAAAGTGTTCTGCATTCATCAGTTTAAAAAAAACTAGACAAAATCTTTTACACACTTACAGTCGTGAGCAAACACACTAATAAGTACATGTGGGAATACATTCACTTCGTTAGGAGTTACCGTGCTGCTTTATAAGGACAAGGTGCATAGCATTCCCCTAAGGGACACACCTTTGACCACTGCAGTTCCAAAAAGCCGTTTAGATTTAGTTCAGGTCGACCCATACGAACGGTTATCTGTCAGTTCCCTTCTTCTTTCCCCTCACTCTCTCATTCGCCTCTCTTCCTCCCACTCCCATTTGGTCTTTTCCTCCTTTATGATGTTATTGTTTCAGCCACTGCAGCAAAAACTTAGACTGACCAGTCATTTCACAGTTTCCTCTTGTGTCATTCAAAACATTTAATATAATAACTCATTCAGATTTAATACATTGACTATAGCTGGGTCAGGTTGAGAAGTAAGTGTAGCACAAAGGAAATTAAAGCTTGATTGTAACTGACATCTAACCGAGACTCAAGTATAGAACTGAGGAAAGGCCAAAAGTACAAACTGAAACAAGTTACACAACAAAGGAAAAACACTAGAGGGACTGTAATTTAAAAAAAGCCCAAACCATTGACTTATACAGGAAATGTATCATAATTCAGGCTCAAAATAACTAACTCAAAATACTTGTAATATAAATAAAAAACTGAAAAAAACAAATGGCTGCTAAACCTAACGCTGGATTTCAACACTTATGACTTATATCTCAGTCTTCGATAACATAAGATATGAACTGTTGTTTTATTCAAACTACTGACTCACACCACAAACTTTCATCACCAACTTCCCCTCAGCACTCAGATTTCGAGAGTAAAAATATGTTTCTTCGCCCTTAGGGAGAGAATTTCCGTTTTTCTTAAAATAAGCCTCGCAATCATCACTAGCTTCTAAAACTTGACTTGCATTTTCATGCTGTTATTGTTTGTAGTTAAAGTGTGGACAGTTTTTCGGCGCTTTTCCACGTGTAAACATGTGGCAGCAGTGGAGGAGATAGATGAGAGAGGACCAGACAGAGTGGAAAGAACCATCTCCATCACGCGAAGCGATGACCAAGTTGAAAGTTCTCTTTATTTTGAGAAGCCTGGCCCACTTTTTGCCAAGTGAAGGTGTGAAAAATAGCTGACCCCGCTACTTAACACTAATGCACTCATCCATTACAGTCTTGTGAAAACACAGCCTAAGTGGAAGAGCATTAACTTCAGGGGTCTGTTAGCATGTGTGTACGCGGGTCTGAACAGCAACCGATTGTCATCGTGATGGATGATTGTTTGCATGCGTGTGTGTGTTTGTGTGTGCATGCGGAAGTCTGCACACCTGTGTGTGGAGCTTAACTGAGTATGTGGTTTGTGAGTAAAGGTAAACTGCAAGGCAAAAAGACAAATGTGGCTATGCTTATCCAGTTGTTTCCTCCATTAATAAATCAAGCAATATGGTAAGGGCGTCCTGCACAAGATCAGTTCACACATAAACACTCGTGTGCGTCTATTTTTACTCAAGTGTTGTGAGTCAAAGCACTGGATATATTTGTACTTCATTTATAAGTTTAGGAAAATTTCATGTTTTATTAACTCCTCAAACAACATAAATTGTTTTGTTTTGGAACCCGAGAGCAAAACTTCATACAGCTTCAAAATGTGTAGTGTCTTTGAAAAAAAGGATTAAACACACTAAAGTGAAATATGTACAAATTTATAAATGTAATGTAAGTGCCGATAACGCTGTAGAATAAACACCTTGCTGAAAACACAACTCTCTCAACAGATAAAAAGAATAAATGGAAACCACTGATTAACAGTAAACGGTCACTCTGCATTTTCTTCCTCAGTTCATCAAAATTTCTCACACAACTCCAATTTTCTCTAATAATTTCCAGAAACGTCTCTGTGTGTGAAAAGTTCACCCCATCACGTGTTTCATTCTTCTCAAGTCATCTTTCACCTTTTGTCCTTTATCATCTTTCTTTTTCTCATTTCCCTGTGACCCTGAACCTGCTGTGTGTGTGTAATACCGTACGATCTCTGCTACAGCTGTGGGTGTCATAAATCATACTAAAATCAATTCAAAAACACATGGAGCAGAGTGGCTGCAAATCTAAGATTCCACCAGTTCTGTTGCATAGGTAGATGTAGTCCAACTGATGAGGGCCAAAACCACAAAATGCAGATATTCAAGAGACATAAACATTTCTTTTTAAACTTTGTGTATGACTTTAGATCAGGGGTGGGCAACTCCATGCCTCGAAGACTGCAGGTTTTGGAGGTTTCCTTGCTTCTGCCCACCAAATTCAAATAAAAATGGATCTCTTCTAAAGATTGCTGAACTGCACAGGACTGACAACTTTGTGTTGAAGTGAAGTTCTTATTTACATAATATATTCTTATTCAAAATCTTATCTATTTTACATATTATCAGGAAAAGGTTCATACGTCTAAAACCTGTTTAGCTATTCAAGAACTCTGCAGCTAAATCTATGAAGAGAGATAATCAATGTCTGAGCTATACCTGTACATCCTGCAGATTTTATTTTTTCTCCCAGAGAATAACATCAGGAAATTAAAGAGAGAAAACCTTTTGAGCCAAATGTTCATTTGATCAAAACATTATATACTCAATCAGTACTCTTCTTTCTATTGTTACCCTTATTGAAATCTGATCATTCTGTCTGGATCTGCCACCAGAGGTTCAACTATGTTTTGTCTGAACTGTTGACCTCGGACCTTTAGTCTGCGGTCATGGCTGGAAGGAGCAACAGCAGCAGAACGCCACTGTGGTTACAAGTTGTATCAACCATGAGAAAGAGAATATACAGAGTTGTTTTATTTTTAATTCATTAGTCTTTCCCGAAGGAATTTTAAAAATCATTAGAGGTCAAACAAGTCCTGAGCCGGATCAGGAGAGGTATATTTTCTGTGAGGGCAAGTTCACAAGAGAGCAGGGCAAACTTGTTTATTATAAGATTTTTTCAAGTGTCTCTGCTGCCCTCTGCAGTTTGCAAGGAGCACCATTCATCCATCTATTTTTTGTGCAGCTTATTCCTAACGGGTTCTACTCAAACAATAACAAATATCACAATAAACATCTGGACATTTTTCGCGATAAAAAAATATACTAAAGTAAGGACAATTTCTCAAAGGTCGCGCCTGCGCAAAACGATCACCCGTCAACCCGGAAGTTTACGTCACGTGTAAACAGCACAAACTCAGCTGTGAAAGCTGAAAGATGGTGTACGTGTCTAATGGTGAGTGGTTTGTCTTATCTTTATTAATATAGTTCTCAAGATATGAATTAACTTTTAGATTCGTATTGTGTGTAGGCTTATGTTGAGATTTTTTTTAAATGCAGCAGTAACATTTAATGGCATAGGGGTATTTGGCTAATTTTAGCAAATTAGCTTTCTAGTTAGCATAGCTTGACTGAGTGCGTGTAGCAGAAAGCATTGTTGAATTATTATGACGTAATAAACACTGAGCAAAGCAAGTACTTAGGCGCAATTTCTGAACTGTATAGCTATTTATAGCTTAAACGTTTTTTTGGGGGGGTGGGTGGCGCTGCAGACTCGCATAGACCGACATATAAAGCCGAAACTACCTGTGTAAAGCAGGTCACAACGTGTTGTTTTACAGTGGATTTAATCGACAATTCTTCCACATGAGTAAAGTAGGATAAACTGGCGGTCTAAAATGACCATTTGGATGCTGTGCCTTGCTTACATCAGCTGTATGTGTGTTTCTCAGGTCAGGTCCTGGACAGCAGGGCTCAGTCACCATGGCGACTGTCCCTACTGGTTGATCTCTTTTGGGGAGCAGTGGAGTTTATTGGCCTCTTGTAAGTCACTGTTCACTGCATCTTAAATTGCTTAGTCATCAGTGACGCCGTTGAGCTGTAGAAATCATATTTAACATTATCTCACTTTAGGAGGGATTGGAGTGTCTGTTCATAAGCATTCTGCTGGGTAATTGAAGGAAATCACACTGTGTTTCTTTGTACTTTGTCAGTTTCAAGACAATAATTCACCCTGACCTGTCTAAGGATGGAAACAGTGCTTCGTCACGCTTCTCTGATGGCAGAGGGTAAGTAACAGTCATCTCACTGCCGTTGCAAACTTACCAAGCACATCTCCTATTTGACTTCCTATTTGAAAGACTGAAGCTATATAATCTAATTTGCAGGCCACGTGTAAGAGCTAGCTAAGCACTTTAACATTTTAACTGCAAACCAGTGATATTGCCTCTAATTTATACAAACAGTTCATTATCCAAATAATTGTTTGAATTTAAACAGATAACTGCAGAATTGCCTGTGCGTGCATCTTTGTAAATATGCCCCATATTCGCACCATTTCTTTCATCGTCGCCCTTTCTGTTGTTTACCTTTGCAGTCCCCCAGGACCCCCCGGTGGCAGAAGGAGGATGGGGAGAATAACTCATGGCGCTGGTCCAACCCCACCACCAATGGGTGGAGGAGGATGAGGAAGGTGAGAAGTAGTTCAAACCTTTTTTGTTCCATCTGTACCTTCTGGTTTTGCAAACCTGACCATATGAGGTGCAGGTATGGAAAAAATAGAAAACTTGCATGTTAGATTTGGTCTTTGCAACACTGGCAGTCAAATAGTTTTGCATTCATAAACATAGTTTTACATGAATGCATCTGATGCTGTGTTTGTCTTGGTTGTTACACCTGCGACTTCCTTATTTGCCAGCTCTATTATCTTCTGTAAGTTCAAGCTGCAGTTCTTTGAACACAAATGGCAACCGCACAGTTTACTCAGTCTTTTCTCAAAACTAACCAGAAATATGGTGAAAATGATTACTTTAGTTTAAAGTTTCTCACAGGTTATTTTCACATCAACTGAATATAAGATAACCTCACCAATGTATGTATATCCCTTTCTTTTCAAGGTAAACGCCTACACACGCAGTGTAGGCGTGGGGCTATGCACAGTGTTTTCCAAGATCACAAGGGTGTCGATCTCACAGTGATGAAGCCCCTCCTCATCAGCTGCCACTGCCACAAGCAGTTTCTTGATGCCTCTCTGGGAATTCCTACATGTAGGGGCTAGATTGGCTGATGCAGCAGCTGTATGCACCACTTCCTTTCTTCTTTCCGCTTCAGACCTTCCAGTTCAGCAACATCAAATGCTTACGAATGCGTCAGTGGCATTTGGTTACAGTCATCCTCCTCTTAGTATGTCTTTGTTTTTATCCTTATGTTGGAATAAAAAATTATGAGTGAGTTTGGTTCATTTAATTTCGCCACAGTTATGTAATAACAAATTGTTGTCATACATGTGTCAATCACATTATGCAATACTAAATCTGAGAGACTATTCATTTTGGGGAATAATTAAGGTAATCCTTTAGCTGCAGCAGTTCTGGCTCACTTTAGAAGCAGTGTTTTGTCTGAACCCTTATCCTAAATCCTAAAACAGAGATCTCGTTATTTGCCACCACACACAACCATTATTTTCAAGTGTGGCTAATTTATTTAAGCTCCAGGGAAAACCAAGGGAGACCATGGGAGAATTACAGTACTATTTACAAATCATCTAGTTAGCTGCCTCTCCTGTTACACACAAAAGTAGCAAAAGAACCACACTGGTGTTCCAGTTATCCTTGGAAAGGATAACTCCGTCCAGCTTCAGGGAAAATGCAGGTTTTCACCAGACGAAGGCTGCTCTTTCTCGCAGCATGCGAACACCAAATCGCTGCCACTCCCTGTGATGGATCCACATCTCCTGCGTGGTGTCCAGACACGCCAGCACTGCGCCCCCTTTCCATGATATCAGCCGGGGGTCCATGTCCTACAGCACAAACATTAAAATGCATTCATTTCTTCAACAAAAAAAATCAGGCCTTTCCATATACTGAAAGGTGATGGCCAATATTCTGATTTTTCTTTGAGTGAGTAATATTGGAAGCAAATTTCCAGGTTTTTTTGTTCTTTTTTTACTTGTACCTTTGGCCGAGTTATCACTTCCACATTATCGACTAGCCTTCTGAAGGAGGGAGGCATTTTGTTGATGATGCGATGAAGCAGAAATTCCTGAGCACCGTGAAACATCAGCCCTCCTCCCACCACCAGGATGGAACTATACATCTTTCGTTTGGTTTCGTCTGAGGCTGTGGACGTAAAAAGCAAAGCCAACTGAAAACAGACCTTTGTCGACAATGTAAAACAGCTGTTTACTTCTCTTATGATGTGTGGGTTGTTTTATTCATTGAACTAATAAAGTGGTTTATATCATTCTTAACTTTTGCTATGTTGTGATATAATTCTACAAATACTTCTCCTTTTTTAAGTATAGTTGAATTTATGTTAATCTTGGGCTACTCCACCATCTCCTTCCGTACCACAGCAGTCGATGCTATGCAGGATTGCCTTGTCCAGTCCCAATGCTTTGCTCTCAAACTGGCTGATGATGGCAGTTTTCTTGGAAAAGTGAGCAGACATGGACTCTTCAACTTCTCCAGCCCCGGTCAGACACTCTCCCTGGTTTGACCCCAGCTCCATCTCCCCCTGCGGCCCTGCTCCCCCACCACTCCCACAGCCTCTGGGTAGGTCTGACATTTCTCCAATGCCACCCTGACTGCTCATCTCACCGTCCAACCCTCCGCCTGGTCTGGAACCAGCCTTTCGGTCAGCAGCAGATTTGGATGACTGTTGAGGACAATGGTGGAATCAATATTAAGAAATCTTTGGTCTGTGCAGATTAAATTTCACTTAATGTTTAAGAGTGAGTCCATTTTTTTCTTCTACCTGGTCTTGTTTGCTCTGTGTGGTCAAAAGGTAGTGTTCGTCATGAGGATCCTCAGAGTCTCCTTGGGAACGGTACGGAAGCGATGTCATCTTCTGGCCTACGATGCCAAATGTGGTTGGGTAGAAAACACCCATGGGTGCCTGTAAAGGATGCCCAAACAAGCACAAACCACATTTTTTACAGTTGAGGGTGGCTGTTTAATACATAAAAAGCTCAACTAAATACTGTAACGCCTATTCTGGAACTAGACCCAAAAATGTTTTAATCTTTTATTCAAAGTTTGAAACGCACACCTGTAATTTTTCATCTCCAAGTCGAATTTGGTATAGAAGAGCTGGGGCTTCTGGGAAGCGTGTCTGAAATTCATGATCTTGTAATCCTGATATGTCCTGTTGAAAATAAAAAAAACAGACCAGTTGGAAATTATTTGAGTTGCAGCAAAAGTTCAGAAGAAGTTCCCACAAACAGCTTCACGTGACTTTGAGGGTGTAATCAGTGTGTGGGACAAAAGTCCCCAAAAGAACACCACTTAAACACCTACTTGATTAAGATGGCAAAATGTCTCTTTCAGATGTTGCAGGAGCTGGCAGTCCAGTCTGTTTGACAGCTGACAGTCCCTGTAGGGAAACCCTGCTCTCTGCAGGAGCCAGAAGAAGGTCCGGGTCACATCTGAGCCGCCATAGGCCAAACACAACCTGCACAGCCCCAAAAGCAGGCAGAACACACCAGTCAGTGCATGCAGAAAATGCAGTGCGGTAAACATTTTGGAACTTTCCGCTGCTTTATGCTTTTGTGAGGCCTGCCACACCTGGAGTTCCGATGGGACACTCCATCCTCCACGCAGCAGACGCTTGTTTTTTGGTCCCCCACGTCCACCACACAAGCGCTGCTTAACCCACTGCCAAATGTCGCGCACACCGACTCCTGGTGCGCAATGATTGCTAAACACGAGCATACATGAGAGAGGACATGTAGAAAGTTGAAGACAGATAGATAACGAAGAAGGAACAATGTCCTTGGCAGGTAAGTCAAGCATTACAGTTTATACAGACTCTGGCGTACTCTGCATAGTCAGACTTATTTGTGTAATACCTGAGAAGCCCATATTAAGCAGCAGCATATTCACAACTTCCTTGATGTGCTGCCTGTTGTAGATATCAGGGACTAACAGGATGCACCTGTAATACTGTGGGCCAAAAGAAATGACCAAAGCATTTATTTTAGGAAGAATTAACAGAAGAAATATGAATGAAGGATTGCAGATAGTTCTACCTTTAAATCTTTCAGCGGGATTTCCAGATGTTTCTGAATGACATGACTCCAGATGGTCTCAAGATCAGCCAGGACCGCCGAGAGCGAGCCTCCTGAACCAGAGTGGACATTGAGCTGACCTCTCACCATGGGCCAGTGAATGTTGTAGCAATCAGAAGGATTCACATAAAGGGCCTGGATGACGAAAGGATTTAGAATGATGAATAAGAATTTCCTTTTTTTCCATTGCAATCTGTTCACGTTTTCGTTTTTTTAACAACCACTGACCTCTTCTCCCACTAGATAAGGAGGCTGATGGCCTGTGTTTGTCCACTTCGCTCTGGAGCTGCTGTCTAGTACTGCAGGACGGATCTGACAGTTATAGGCTCTGGCCTGAACATGTGAACATGAACATAATAACAACTGTAAGAAACATGTAGTCATGGAAACCAAAACAATGCACACCTTCTCCCAGCTGTGGAGGCCACATAATAAATCAACCAACTTTTCCTTATCTTTTTAACAAGATACTAAACGTATGGGTCACTATTTGACCTGGTTTCTTTGACCCATAAACTAGAATTGAATGACTTCCCAACAGGCTGTGATTGGATGACATCATTCTGTCTCTTCCCACCACTTCCCTGTTGCACTGACAAACCTGCTCAGCAGACACTGGAGTTCTCCGCACACCGTTTGACATCTTCTTTGACCAGATGGCCTGATCAACCATTTTGAGCCCATTCTGTCTCTGCTCATTACTCTCTGGTTTCTGCTGTAGGTGAAATTAAGACAGATGGAAATCAATGCAAACGTGAAGTGACAACAGTATATTTAGTATATCTGACAAAGAGTGCCTTACATTTAAACCTTGTCTCAGCAGCCATGCGTCTTCGTATCTGGACTGTCCACTTTGCTTGTGTCTACGTGCGATAACATGAGGCACCGTAACCGGGAGATTGTCTGTTGCTCGACCAATGCGGAGCATTCTTGAACCAGGGTGGATGACAACAACGAAATTGCTCTGTATTTGCTAATAGAGACAGGGTGACATAAGATTTTCATATGAATACAATAACCATTCATAGTTGTGCCCAAAGGGTGGGGGAAAATGTATCATCACACATTGTGTGACACCTTACTAGAAAGGTACTCAACCTTCTGAGAAGACTGATGCGAAAAACTAATTAGTAGTCACAAGAAAAAAGAAAATATAAGACATGCAAAGATCAAGACCAGAGCCATCAACCTCTTCTTGTGTCTTTTTATAGTTTATCTGAATGTGAGATAATAGTGTATCAATGCAAACCCAATGTACTTTAGGCTTTTCCGATGATATGACAGCGGTTAAAATGACTCTAATGAGAGAATCACAATGAATGAATTAATCAGATGAACGACAAGGACGTTATAATGTCAATATTAAGTATCATGCTCATTTAAAAGGCCAGTATGTTGTGGGAAGGTCTGCGCAAATAAACGCTGTTCCATCGAAAATTATTTAAATGTTCGATCACATTTGAAAAGAAGTGTCGCTTTGTTTCAGAATCTACCGGGTAAACACTTCACACCTCACCTCCTGCAGAGGATCAGGGATGGCCGCAGGAATGATGGGTCTTTTCACTCCGCGCTGTTGCTCCTTCTCCTTTTCCTTTTCTCGCTCCTTTTCTTTCTCTTTCCCATTTTCCTGCTCCTTGTCAGCCTGAGTCATCGCCACTGTTTTGGTAAAATAATCGAAGAAACAATAATCGAAGATCACGGCGTCTTGATGTTATGGTTCGCCTTTACCAACGCTCTGGCTTCCGTTAGAGCAGTGTTGACTTCCGTGTTTGATCACGTGATACAAAGCGCTGCTTTCTATTTGTCAAAAGTTGTGTTCGTTTCACAACGTATTTTATCTTATTCCTAATTGAAACATTACGGTTGACATTTTTCGCTAAAAAATAAAAGATCCCGGTTGACAATTCCGGCTAAAATCAAATGATAAAAAGTAACAAGATAAATAACCAAAGTAGGTCACAATTCTAGTCAAAACCCTGTCATGAAAAGTGTATTTATTTTACACTCATTCCACCATTTTATTTTGAGGGAAAAAACAAATCGATATAATTTGTGGTCAGAGAGTCTGTTCAAGAGCACGACTTTGCCAACAGTTAGAAAGTTGCCTACCACCATGAAAGGCACAGCATAACATAATGATATTAGCATCTGCTAAGCATTTCTAATTTCCGTTATGGATGCTGCTTCACATTTTATATTTTTTAAACCCATTTTTTTTCAATTAAACTTTGTATTTGTGGCCACTGAATACATTATGCTAATATATTTAGAAAATGTCAGGCTGGATCCCAGCTTCGCAGTCTTTAACAAAGAAAATTAATGTATTGAGATAAAAATTTCCAGCTGCAGATTTAGAGTGTAGTCAGTTATGCATCTGATTAACACGTGCTATTACACAACACTAAGTATATCAAGTTCCTGTTTTAGTTCAATTTCTACTCATTGGGAAGTTTTTATAAAAACTTAATTTCACTATTAGTTTTAATAGCTGAACAAATCAAGGAGTCAAAGGAGATAAATTCTTGGGAATTGTTGTTTAACAAAACATTTTTATTCTGTTTCTGCGTATTTGCAGGAAGTTATAAAAACACAAATCAAAGCATACACTGACAACTGACATACACAAAAACACCTTTTGTGAGTGTAAAAAAAACTAGAGTGTAAAAGGGAAAGAGGGAGGAGGAATGCAAATTCTTTTTTAAAAGGTAAGGATAATAAAAACGAAGCTAATCACTAATAAACTCTGCCTTCGCATTTTGGTCCATCATCCTCAACATTCTCCTTACATGTCTTCAAACAAGTATGGATTCATATTTAAGTGGCTGCATCTCTTTGGGCACACCTGGCTCATCTGCCTGTAACTGTCCTATAGCTTCATTTAACTTCACTGTTGCATCCTCATTGAGGGGAAACACAGGTCTGAACATGAAATTTAGTATCTTCTTCTCTTCCTGCTTGTGAACATAAAGGGACTTGCAAAGTTTTTTTAAATCCTTCATCAGACAAAAAGTCTTGCAGGACCTCAATTCCAGTGGCAGAGAGCTTCGATCCTTCTGCAAACTCAGGTGCACCACCAAAAACTTGGCCAACTGGCTGCTGTTCTTTGCATGGCTTGCGACCATGTTCAGAACCAGAGGATAGAGATCATGAGTTGCAGCTGGAACAGACGCATCGGGGATGCTGTGGCTGGGAAGAGGACGCCTGAGCTGTGAGGACTGCTAGCGAGGGAAGAAGAGATTGTTGTTCATCATCATAGCGACAGTTGAATACTTGAATACTTTCTGTGAAGAATCCATCATGTATTCAATATCTAAAACGTGTTAAAAATGATTATTTGTAACACTTACCCTCTCTGTCTGTGGGGACATTATAATCACAGTCTTTGCAGCCTTTGCCTGCTCTGCAAGCCATCGCATCGGCCCCAGCTCTGCGATTCTTTCCCGCTGCCACATGTCGATAGCTACTGTGCAGCCACCATGCAACTGCAGGATTTCTGCCAGAGCCATCACTGCCCTCTGGAAAGCTGCATTCTCGGCAGGGTAGACCACTAAAACAGGGACTGGTGCCGTTGAAGATTCAGGCAGCTTTCCGTAACATAAAGTTGAGGCAGCAAAGTGCATACAAATTTTATCTGCAAAGCAAAAACAAAACAACAAATAAGAAAAAAGGTAATTTACACTCAGCACCAACCTGCAATGTTTGAATTTTAAAAAGCAACAAGTTGAGAATCTGTTTTCATCTGGATTTGACTCTGGTTCTTTTGCTCACTAAATGAAAGTTCAAATCATGTATTTACAGATTACACAGCAGGAAGAGAGGATGGTCAAAGTTCCCAGGACTCCAAAAATGAGGATAATGTAATCTCCATTTCTCAGGGCTGCAATGACAAACGAAGCACACGTTTATTTAGCTCACACAACACAAAACTTATCTGATTTAGCGTACACACAGACGGAGCCCTTAGTATTACCTGAAGGAACAGGGTCAGTCATGCTCTCAACTTCAGAACAAAAGGGAAAAAAACAGTTAGAGACTGAGTATCAACACACACAGAAAGATTATAAAAAAACAAGTATTAGCACAGAGTATTACCTGAAGGAGCAGGGTCAAGCACGCCTTCAACTTCGAACAAAAATGAAAAAAAAAACAGTTAAAGACAGAATATAAACACACAGATAAGATGATAAAAAACAAGCATTAGCTCTGACTATTACCTGAATAAAAACGGTCAGGCATGCTCTCAACTTCAGAACGAAAATGAAAAAAACAGTTAGAGACAGAGTATATACAGAAAAGATTATTAAAAAAACAAGCATTAGCTCAGAGTACTACCTGAAGGAGCAGGGACAGTCATGTTCTCAACTTCGGAACAAAAATGAAAAAAACAGTAATATCAACAAATACAGAAGAAATATCAAAACAAGCAGTCACCATACAGTATGGTGCTTCAGAGGTGTTTAATATTGCTATAAATCCCTATGCTACATCGCTCTATCTTACAAATATTAAGGTTTTCTTTTAATACAAGTGAAATGTTTTTTTTTAAACTTAATTTGTCTTTTAAATCACTGTTTATACAAATAGAATTACAACACAAAGTACTTGAGGTAAATGAAAAACAATTAAGAAATAATCTGGAAAGATGAAAAACTATACAAACGATACAAATATCCCTTCAAATGTTCAACTTCTCAAACAGACACATGCACATTCAATACAAACGATGTCACACCAACTCTTAACACCCTCTGACAGTTTTTCTGAAACTGGAATTCAAATAAAAAGAGTAGAATAAGATAGATAAGATAGATAGATAAGGTCTGAAATTACTATAAAAATGTGGGCTCCCACTTAGAGCAAAGCAAGCTGAATTACACTCAGTTGAATTTCTTTTTTCACCTCTGGTTCCATGATTACATATTGCTGTGCCATCCACTAAAACTGAAAGGAAAGCTTAACTGTTCAGGATGAAAACTGTGTTCTTTCATGAGCAATTAGTTAACAACAGAATACCAACAGATATTAAATACATATCCTGACTGAAATTTTAAAGTAGCTACCTAATTTATTGCAAATTCCCAAATAAGAATCTGTAAACCTTTGCAATGTCTGTTTTCATGCTTAAAAACCTCTACAACTATGAACTTGTAGAATGAAAAAAGAATAAAAAATGGCTCACCTTCACTTCTGGGGCTCACATCAATTTCTATGACAGTAGGAGTCGTGTCACTCTCAGCTGGAGGCAATGGAAGATTTTGAACTTCTATCATGTAAATGCCATGTGTGACTTTTATCAGAGTACTGAACCACATCTAGATTCAAAGAAACAAAAGCTTATTTTTATAATCCCCAATTGTGTGGAGCGTTATTTCATGCTCATGCTGTGCAAACAAGCACTGCTTCAGTATATATAATAAAATAATTTACAATTGTGTGTACTCAAAAGCCTGTCTATGTTACCTGCTCAACCTCGATGGCGTTGGCTTTAGCAAATGAAGCAAAAGAAGGGCTGTATTCACATATTCTGGATGGTTCCATCGAAACCTCCAACCATGTACCTGCTAGGTTATGGATACTAGCTGCAAATAAGGAAGGACAGGGCTTATAAAGGGATGAAACATTTGCTTGTCAAATTAGTATAAAACACAATGTGTAAAATTTTGTTTAAGAACGCAATACTGGAACATAAATTTGATCACTTTTGTTGGTGACAGTTTTTTGATTTTGAAATAAATGTGCAATTAACACAATGCAGAGAACATAAAGCCTAAGAGAATGATGTGAAGTCTGTAGAATTTTATATGCATCAGGAAACTTGTCAATAAAATCCATAATGTGACTCCTACCATCAATGTTAATAGCCCAGCTTATGTTCAGCATGTCTTTAGATCCCACTCTTACTAGATCCACGTTTAAGGCAGCCACACTGGATGGAGGGGTGTCACTTGTCAGCGGAAAATCTGTAACAACAAAGGAGTTACAGTTATACTGCATAGATAGATAGATAGATAGATAGATAGATAGATAGATAGATAGATA